ATCATATCATACCCGGCCTCAAAGAGGACTCGGTAAAAACGTACCCGGCCATTATAAGGCTCGGTAGAATCGTACCAGGCCACGTGGAGCTCGGTAAACCCAACTGATCAGTGGTTGCACAATAGGTGTCATACCCGGCCGACTATAGCGCGGCTCGGTAGAGTAAAGTAGATACATATATAATGCATGTTGGACTCATGGAGTCACGTTCTAAACCTTTTGGAGTGACATAAGGTCATTGCACCATCGATTAACATTATGGACATCATACCATCAATATGAACTTCACTAGGACTCAAGGATCATATATACTTTCTTGGAATAACTTTGTAAGGAAAGAATAACATGGACAACCTTAGTTGCTAGGAGTAGATTCATTATGAAATAGCGTATCGTTTATGTTCGTTTCACTTTAGATCATGCCAAAAGAATGAAGGAAGAGCCTTAACATACCTTAAACATGTTGAGTCCTTAATACCTTCTAAGCAGCTCTTCAAACAAGTCAACTCGATCTATCATAGCATAAGGAGATTCAAAATCAGTGGTGAGCAAAGGCTAAGTCTGTAACTTAAGCTAGTAGCTCGTCTACGTAAATTCGGGCAGCATCTCCCTTGTAACAAGGGCCTCCTCCAATACCATATACCAACAACAACAGCCAGGGAAGTCCAGCAACCTTAGACAGCAGCAACAACTTGGAATTTCATCCAAATACAGCCCACAACAATCCTCAATGACAACACAACCTCAAAGAGGTGCTGTTCTTCACTAGAGCTAAGTTTTGATGTTGAGATATGGTGTAATCACTTTGGAATCACTTCAAACACTTGTGGAATCTGTTTAGAAGGGTTAGGAGAAGTTTGGAGACGAAATTGAGTTGAAAATAAATGAGAAATAGGCGTCCAAATCCTTTATAAAGTGAAGTAGGTCGACCACCGCCTAAGTGGGTCCCATTGGGAGCTGCTTGCGCGGTCTCGCGAAAATGCGAATATCTCTCTACTCCGATGTCGTATTGACGAATGGTTTAATGCGTTGGAAACTAGACTCGTAGATCTTCAATTTGATATGTAGATCATCCATTTATGCCAAGTATATTGGGAGAAAAGTGCATCTACATTTGACCTAAATTTCAGCACATTATAAATGCAACTTGTGATGATCTTTGCTAACTTTTGTTCCATAACTCGTTTGACTTAAAAACATAACACACGACTATCATACGACTACAATAACTCATAAATTAACCTCCTCATCATGTTAATCACCCTAGTCTCACCCCAAAAGAATATGTTATAACATTCCAAACTTGTCGATTTTTGACGAAACTTATTTTCTTCAATTCGTTTAGCGACTAAGCTTTCCAACCCTTTTGGTACTTGTTATTCATGATCTTAAATATTTGTAACCTCCAAGGTAACATGATTAACTTACTTTATTTGCTTCCAAATATAATCTCATTTTCGAGCTTACATCAATGACTTACGACGTACTCTCACGTATGAAAACTTGGGGTGTAACATCATTCCCCCCTTTGGAACATTCGTCCTAGAATGTTGACTGATGCGCTTATCAGTTTCATAAACTATGGCTCTTACGAATACTTTAATGCTAATATTGCCATCTAAGCAACTGTTTTGTGAATAAATCTAAACGCTTGGGCATTCCCCCCTTTTAGGCCTCTTTGTCACGCCATGACATGTGGTCGGAATTCTTCCAACGTAACATTTGCTACCTTATGTCATGCAGTATGTACGACTCTGTTCTTCTATGAGCGCCTAGCGACTCTTCTTCCCTTTTTCCTCCATCTTTTAGCCAATCTCTAAGCCTCGCTTTATGAACATATACAGAATTATGACAAGCTGTCACTCTAGGCTTCTATAGGTGTACTGATATCTTTCACTTGGTACTTTATCGAACTTAAGACTATTGTTATCTCTTGTTTCATAACCTTGTATATCTATCCTTATGGATTTACTACATCTAGGTAGGTTATACTATACCATAAAACTTACTTCGGTTTATTATTACCGAGGTTTGCTACCCAACTCCAGGTTACTCTCTCGCTGCTTATCCTATGTGTATAGATCTAAGTCCTTTAGTGCTTCCTCATTATTATTCATCTTAAGAATAACAAATAAATCTCACCTCGTACTTTGGAACTTGTACCCATCTATTGTTTATTCACCTTAATGTTGATCTATAATCTATCACTGATAACTTGCAACCTCTTACGTAATACACTGTCACTAGGGCTCACATCTTATCGGGGAACATCTGAAGTGATTTGCCCGATCCACCATGGGACGATACTATACCTCAATAACCGTATTTCATAGCATCTTAACATGATTCATCTTATGGGGGTATTCCAATCCCGTGCAATTCATAAAATCCCTTTTCTTTAAATTATTCCTCAATCAAAGGCCTAAATGTCATCCTTTTATCTATCACAATTACACCCTTATTCTACTAACGGGGCAGCATTTCGTCTCTTCTAATTGCTCCTAGTCTTAGACTCCTCTGTGTTCATTCAGGCTGTACCGAGCTTTTTATTACATATGGAAATCATCAGCTCCCTTGTTTTGATGGATTAAATCCCGAGGACATACATATTCTCGTCACCTTCTCACTCACCTTTTCATATCCTTACTCATATCTACCTAAAACCTTGTTGCTCTACAATGCTTCACCTTAGGACCTACACCGATCTATTTATACTACTCGCAACCTTCCTTTAACTTGCTAGAACCGTAAATTTCCTTTTGTGCCTTCTCAGTTGTCCTTAAATGTAAGCAATTACTTTTCGTGGTCGTTCTATCACTTGTTGCATGAATAATTGGCTTGTCTTATTGCCCACGAATACTGTAATTTCCTGTACCTCATATGATCTCAAACATCTCCTTTGATTTTTTTTTCCATTCATTAGCCACGATAGGTGCCACTTTCTTATGGAGTGTATACAATATTGTAGCAAGGCTGTTGTTATAAGATCATTTACTCTTTAGCTCACTATGCTTAGGTGGAAACCTTCTTCCTTATTTCCTCAACTAATCTTTCGTTGTAGTACTTAGAGAGACCTTCTGGCTCTTGTAAAGTTGCGAGCTTGTCATATCATACACCTGAAGGAAATTTTCGTTGTTCTTACTCACCTATAATAATCTTTAGTTACATAACTTTGTGCCTTTGTGCTCGTAGGGTTACTTCTAAGCTCAAATTTTTATTGTCTCCTTAGTGGCACTCTCTCTTATTTTCATAAACCTTAAAAACGGTACCTTTAACTACCTCAACTCCTATTTGATTTTTTTTTTCAAATGACTGTGATCTCGTATCTGCGAGACTGAATTCACTATGTTGCGGTTCACTACATTTATCTTGCATGATCTATTGATTTATCTGTGACCTCTTGTCTAGCCATAACTCGGCTCTTCTTGAATCAGCTACTAATTACTCGTTGGTCC